AAGGTCACTTTTCCATTTTGAGGCCAACATGGCAGTGAGGGTGAAAAGCAGGAAGACAGCATACCAGGGAGATGAAGCAGAGAAAACCAAAGCAAATTCTGTCCCCACCCCCAGCTCCAGTCCTCACATCCCTACCTTCCCAGAAGAGCCTTGCGGAGGAGGAAAGACATGGGCAGAGAAGGGCGTCCTCCCCGGGGCTCCCTGCAGCTGCTAGCTGCCCCCTGCACAGCCAGCTGCGAGGGCTGCTTCCTCTCCTGTGGGCACGTCCTCGCCATGCTTCCCGGGAGGGTGGTACTTTCAGTCAGCCACGCCGGGGAGGAGCCCCCTCCACATGCCAGGTGGCCCTCGCCAACTTCCTGGGGCCTGGACCACCCGGGCCCTCCCCTAATAGCCAAACAGAGGGCTCCAGTCTCATCCCGTGTGAATGTCGGAGAGCAGCTCTGCCCCCTGATCCAGAGACCCCTAGGAGGTGTCCATCCCCAGGGTCGCCCCTCCCGTGGCTGCTGTCCTCCTTCTGTGCCCTGACGTGACCCTCACGGCTCGTCCTCCCTTCCTCAGGGTACCACGAATCCACACCTGCTCTTGTGGAAAAGATCAAGCCAGGAACCCACATAAGCAGCCAGGGTGAGACCTCATTGCTCTGGAGGGCCCAGTGCCCAGCCAGCCACCAACACAGACACACTCACACACTCACACTCACACACTCACGCACACTCAAAGCAGACTCACTTGGGAGCTGTCTTCCTCCTCGGGCCTCGCTCCATCTGTCCTCCCTCCTGTCAGGGCCCTGTCTCTGTGGCCAAATCTTCTCTCCTTTCTAGGACCCCTAACACACCTCCCCCACTTGCCAAGGACAGGTTACAAATTCGTAATTTCTTTATCACCTGGAGTGTTTTCTCTTGCAAACATCACAAGGAGGCAGAATCATGCGGTGGAGGGGAGAAGGGAGAGCCTGGGCCCCCCTCTGGGTTTCATACCCCAGCTCTGCCACTGGTGGGCCGTAGAACTCTGACAGTGACAGACCTCTCTCAGCTTCTTCATCTGTAAAACCAGGACAATGCTATTACTTACCCCACAGGGTAACCACCGTTTGAGGACTGAATGGTGCAATGCATGTAAAACACTGCAATCGTTTGAATGGTGGCCCGCAAAAGACGTGCCTACATACTAATCCCCAGAATCTGTAAACACGGATTTATTTAGAAAATGGGTCTCTACAGATGAAATTAAGTTAAGGATCTCGAAACAAGATCATCCTGAATTACCCAAGTAGACCCTAAATCCAATGACAAGTGTGGATTTACAGCTGGTTCTCTTACAGGCAATTTTTAATGCTCCTGGGATCGGTTTTTTCATGGTTGGTGGTGCTGTAACTGCCTCAACCCTGCATAGTCCCAGGAGAATAAGAGAGACAAAAACCTGAGCTTTCATTCCGCAGGGAATGAGCACTGGGACTCTGAGCAAGTCTCAGTTTTCTCATCTCTAAAATGGGAATTTAACCTCTCCTATTCACTTCATAGAGTACTGTGTGGTTGGGTAGAAATGAGCCCATGTCCGTAACTATGACTCGTTAAACTCGTTGTTTGAATAACGATTTAAAAAAAAAAAAAAGACAAAGGGCATCTCTTGTAATGACATCACTCTTTCTATCTCTGCTGCCATAAGAGTGTCCAAGGATGAATTTGCCTCTTACAAAGGCTTCAAGATTCAGGTGTCCCAGCCCCCAGGGAGAGCAGGAACTGGCTCCAGGAGCTGGAGGAGGGCACAGGGTGGAGCAGCGAGGTTTGCATGTGGCTTTGATTTCAAGACGTTTGCAGCTGAGAAGATGATCCTTGCAAAGGCAGTGGCCTTACGAAAGGCTTAAGGGGCAGGATGCTGGGACTCGAGATGGAATTCAGCATTCCTGAAGTTCTGAAGCCTGACAATTTTTATGTTTTAAACCCTCTCCCTTATTTCCTGTTACTCTTTTCTTCCTGGCTATAATCTTACCTATTAACTTGGGAGCAACGTGATTTAAAGACGACACGGGGTTTCAAATAGTTTCAAGGTGCTCAGAGTTTTAAATAAACCACTCAATTCTCCCTCCTTTTTTTTAAACTTTTATTTTGCAGCTCAGAAAAAAATCTGGTTTTTTTTCCTTTCAGCACTTTTTGATCAAAGTCAGTTTGATAGAGTTTTTTAAAGTAATCTTTTAAAAGACAGGCTGAATGGACTTCCCTGGTGGCACAGTGGTTAAGAATCCGCCTGCCAATGCAGGGGACACAGGTTCGAGCCCTGGTCCAGGAAGATCCCACATGCCGCGGAGCAACTAAGCCCGTGCACCACAACTACTGAGCGTGTGCTCTAGAGCCTGCAAGCCACAACTACTGAAGCCCTCACGCCTAGAGCCCGTGCTCCGCAACAAGAGAAGCCACTGCAATGAGAAGCCTGCTCACCACAACCAAGAGTGGCCCCTGCTCGCCGCAACTAGAGAAAGCCAGTGTGCAGCAACAAAGACCCAACGCAGCCAAAAATTAATTAATTAAGTTAAAAAATAAAGCTATAAAAGACAGGCAGAATAATATAGTTTAACTTTATTTTTCCAAAACTGATGTACAGATTATTTTCTGTGTTTCCTGTGTCTAATGGTTACAGCCATCATTTAATGTTGTTTTGCTAACAATAATTGTACCCAACATTTGGTAAGGACTTTCACCTTCATTAGTCAATTATCTTTCACTACCACATCATTCCCATTTTACAAATAAGGAAACTAAGGCTCAGAGCCCAGGGCTTCACAGCCAGTAGTGTCACATGTCAAACTCTAAGTTCCTGTTCAGAGGTAGCTCTCAGTCCCTCAGAATTCCAAGGCATGCCCTTGGATTGTATTTCTGGAACCTGGAATGCAGCCAAACAGGGCTGGCTTGAAAAGCCCAGATAGAGGAGCCAAGAGGTTGAGTTCCCATGACACAGGTAAGCCCCCTGGGCTGGAAAGATCATTAAGGTGAAGGTGCAATCCAAAGGAAGCCTACTGAGGCAAATGGAGCAGAGTACTCTATCCTCCAAGGGCTGACAGAGAAAAAATGAGTGTGCCCTGGTCCAATGCTTTCATCTGGCTCCTAAGAGGTCACATATGTAAGATTCAGGCTAGGGTACAACTTAAGAGCATAAATTAATGGGCCTGTACCAATGGGGTATTTATTGAGCACTTACTATATCAAGCACTGAGCCAAGTGTCATGGGAACACAAATGGCACATAAGACAGGTTCACCGTCCTCAAGGGACTTCTGGTCTAGTTAGGCAGGCAAGACTAAAACATGCAATGGCAGAAGAAATGATGTCGGTATTCAGTTTCATAGCATAAACCAGAAGTTGCGTAGGAATCTAGAGCAGAGGAAGACCTATGGGGACCAGAGGCCATTAAGAGACCTGGAGGATAGAATGAAGAGGGCTAACATTTCTAATCAGAGTTCCAGAAGGAAAGAAGAAGGAAGATGGAGAAGAGGAAATTGTCAAAGAGATATATGGCCCTGAATGGGATGTCAGGACCATTTTCTATTTAGTTTCTCTAAAGGAAGGTCTTTTCAGTGGGTATTTGGGGTTCAGGTGGCCACTGCAGTATATTCAGCTGGTAAATTCTCCTGAATGCCACATCCTCTAATGCAACCAAGGGTAGGGTGTCAGGGAGAAGGCCATGCCAGAGGAGGTTGAGTTTATCAGTACATCTTTAAAGCTGGTCTTTGTCATGTCTACACCTGGCTTTTGCCTTCTTAGCTCTACGGCAACCCACTCTAAATTCTCTCCACCTCCACCATTCCAACTCTTCGATATAATAAAACCTCGAGTAGCCAAAAATCAAGATGATACGACAACTACACTCTTAAGAGAAATGGTCTGCATTTTCTTTAAAAGCTCAGCTTGCAGAATAAACCCTGGGGTCAGTTCACATTCAGCCCAAATTCAACAATTCCTTTAAGTGATTATTTATGCTCATAATTCTATCTCTGAGTAACTCTGTCATTAGACAAAGGCTCAATTGTGTTCACCATCAGAGACTACACCCTCTGTAAGGCGACAAGGCAACTGCAGACCTCAGGCCTCGGTAAACCAGGTCCCAGCTCTCCCAGCACAGGGACGGGGGCTACCCCGCCGTCAGGCGCATCATTGTCCACATCATTCACAAAGGGCAGTTTGCACGGACTACACAATCCAAGTATCCTTTATATATTTTTTTTTCTTTTTTTTTTTTTTTTTTTTTTTTTTGTTTTTGGGCCCCTCACTGTTGTGGCCCCTCCCGTTGCGGAGCACAGGCTCCGGACACGCAGGCTCAGCGGCCACGGCTCACGGGCTTAGTTGCTCCGCGGCATGTGGGATCTTCCCGGACTGGGGAACAAACCCGCGTCCCCTGCCTGCATCGGCAGGCGGACCCTCAACCACTGCGCCACCAGGGAAGGCCCATCCTTTATATTCTTGTCTTCTTTCAAGGAGAGACATTGTGTCTTGGGGAATGTCCAAGTGCAGAATCTATTGAACCAGACATTTTTGGCTATGTGCTTAGAACAATTTTAAACGCTTCTCTACGCGATGTAAAAGATAAATTAAATGCAGCTTTACTTCCCTTCTGGAGCTGTTGCCCAACAACGCGCTGCCTTGAATGTGTGAGGCTGACAGACATTTGCCCCATCAGGTCACAGCCAGATTTCAGCCAATCAGGACTCAGCAGAGCCTGGCCCTCTCGCTCTTCACTTCACTCCTCCCCACAGAGTCACTCCTCGTTAGTCAGCCATGAAAATAAGCCGAGAGCAAAGCTAGAGCAACAGCAGACGTAGCCCTTTAGAAGCATCATGGATCCACTGAAAAAGCAAACTCCTTGCATCTAGTAACTAATGATAATAAAGTTTTACCTTTTACAAAGATGTCAAGAAGTAGTAGAGAAGATGACAAAGGTGGACCTTATTGGACCAGGTTGTATAAAAAATAGACAAGAGATGAATTTCAGAAAGAGCCAACAGCTTTATACCTGATTTCTGCCTAAGACCTTGCTGCTTCCAGAGCTGCCTCTCCGTCGAAGTCCTCTTACGAGATGGGGAAAGGGGCTGATAAATTCTGCTGGGATTTTCAGTCCTAAGATTTAAAAAAAAAAAAAAAAGGTTGCTTGTTAGTCAATCAGCTATTCAGAAGATTCAGTCAAACAAAGCCGTTTCCTGGACTTCCCTGGTGGCGCAGTGGTTCAGAATCCACCTGCCAATGGGGACAGGGGTTCGATCCCCGTTCCGGGAAGATCCCACATGCCGCGGAGCAACTAAGCCCGTGCACCGCAACTACTGAGCCTGCACTCTAGAGCCCGTGTGCCACACTACTGAGACCACATGCCACAACTGCTGAAGCCCACGTGCTCTAGGGCTCGTGTGCCACAACTACTGAGCCCACATGCTGCAACTACTGAAGCCCACACGCATAGATTCCGTGCTCCACAACAAGAGAAGCCACTGCAAAGAGAAGCCCGTGTGCCACAATAAAGACTGGCCCCCACTCGCTGCAACTAGAGAAAGCCCGCGCACAGCAATGAAGACCCAACCCAGCCAAAAATAAATAAATTTTTTTAAAGTCTACTGTTAAAAAAAAAAAAGAAGCTCAACTATATATTAAAAAAAAAACCAAAAAACCCTTTTCTTAAGCCTGGAAGGGACTCAACAATTAGGTCTATAGGAGTGCAAAAAAAATCACTTTCAGGTCCTGAAGCTATGTTTCCATTAGCAAGCTTTAAATACTAACAGTAATAATAACAACAGTAACAACAACAAGCGTGGGCCAAAGTCTGAGGCTCACAGTTTAGACAACAACGCTGTTATTTTCTAAAAGAGCCTGTCATCAAGCTCAAGAACTTCCAATTTAATGAGCTTGAGTTTCAAGGACCAGGAAATGGACTTGGGTTTCTGCTCTTTTCCAGGTGACAAGTATGAATTGGCCCCTCTCCATGGGACAATGGGTATTAAAGTGTTCTTCCTCCTAGGAAACACATGTAGGGGGACCTCTCTTCAAGCAAATCCTGTTTGTTCCACTTCGGACCTATTTTCCTTCCATATTACCACACAGGAGGGATAAGAAGATAAAACCTGGAGAGAGAGAGTGGAGGCCACACAAACCATTTGCTGCCTGGCCCACAGTGACTTGCCGTGGTTATGTCTATGGTCCCCACCAGCTTCTTCAAAGGCCCTGCCCCTCCTTTCTCACCCTTCACACCTTCAAGACTCCAAAGCCTCCGGACATGGTAGTTTATCAACCTCAGCCAATCACAGTTGACTAGCTTCGGTGATTGGCCCAAAGGGTGGATCACATGACCAAAGACCTTTCCTGGTGCTTTTAAAGCTAGAGCTAAAGAAAGAAGCCCTTCCCTTTTCAGTGATAAATCTGGAGAAAGTGAGTCCAGAGCAGGCAGCAGCTATGGCTCCACTGTGTAGAGAAATCCCATCTGAGGTAGGTAAAAGTAGAGGAAGGCCGCAGAGAGACTTCTAGCAACTCCAAGTTCCCTGTTGCCACCTCCCCCAGCCCCACCCCTTCCTTTCCAGATTGCATGAGTGATTGAAGTCCCTCTTTGCCAAGGTTCGTTAGTTGGGTTTCTGTCACTTATAGCCTGGAGTCCTAACTAGTGCAGGAAGTGCCCTGTCGAGGGTCCTCAGCTTGTTGGTGGCTGGGCTGAAATGAGAATCCAGAGCTCCTGATTCCACCTCATCAGGTCACAAGGGGCTTCAGCTGGCTGAGTGACCTCAGACAAAACATAGCCCCACTCTGGGCTGGATACGGGGTTCAACTCCATCATCTCAAAGATTTCTCAAGAAATAAAATTCTATGGGTTCTTTTTTTTTTGGTTTTAAAGCATTGAAGAAGGAGAAAGAAAAAGAGTAAGAGATAGTAGACCTGTGTGTGTGTGTGTGCGTGTGTGTGTGTGTGCGCGTGTGTGTGTGTGTCTGGAGAGAGAGAGAGAGAGAGAGAAAGAGAGAAAGAAAGCAACTGCTTGGGAAAAAAACAAAAAAAGGCACAATCAATCCTTGATCCCTGTTAGAGGGTGGAGAAGTGAGAGGATTATTAGGTGCTCTAAGACAAGTTACATCAATCAGTTGTATAGAAAAATTGATTTTTTTCGTTAGAGGATGTGCCACCCCAAACCAAGCTTGTGGAGAATCAAATGACCTAGCTTAAGAAGAGCCAATATTGGTAACTCAAGTTGGTGTGGCAGAAATAGCAGGGGGTTTTTAGGCCTTTATAACTTGGTGAACAAGATGATGCCTAGAATAGATGGGTCACCAGCCAAGTGCAGAAACTTCTGTGGCTCAGGGATTTCCACTGTTACTGGTGTGAGTGATGGCAGAAGTGAAGTAATTCCAGGTCACCTGTGAGGGAAGAAGCTTCCAGATAGGGTCAGTTCTACAGCACAGTTCTCGGGAGTGTTCCTGGAAGCTTACTCTTGAGTGTGTTTCTCCAGTTCTCCCAACGGGTCCTGGAGTTAGTCAATATCTCTTAATCCAATTCTTTTCTGGTTAAACTAGCCAGAGTAGATTCTGTTGCTTGCAACTGAGAACCATAATATGCAGGTATCTGTATGGTAGAATGGAGTTTGGTGAGGAAGGGAGTACCAACCATATGTTGAGAATCGTAGGTAGCACAAGCATGACCGTGTGTATCATCTCCTAAGAGGCCCAAGAGATAGGTACTGCTGCCTTCATTGTATGAGTGAGAGAAACTCCAATCAGAGAAGTAAGGTAGCCTGCCCAAAGTTACCCAGCAATTAGCAGAGTCCAGATTCATATCCAAAACTGAATCTAAAGGGCCCTTCCATGACCATGCTGGCACCCTGATATCATACTTTGAGCCTCTAGACCTCTGAGAAATAAAAGCTTGTTGTTTATAAGCCACCTAGTCTGTGGTATTTTGTTGTAGAAGCCCAAACAAATGGACTAATATAATCCTCACACTGGCCTTCTTTCCTCTCCTAGAATATTCTAAGACCCTCCCTGGCCGTTGGTTCAGCATTGTATCTCCAGGGATAGCACCAAACTTGGCACTTAGTAAGTAAATGTTCAATAAATATTTATTGATTGAATGAATGGATGATTCCTCTAAGGGGGTTGCTATGTTGAGTCTTACCATATGGCAGAAGGGGTTTGGAAGAACTCAAGTTCTACTCCCCAGAGCCCCATGACTGAAGTGCTACGAGGTATAAGATCTGGGCCATTTCCCCTTAGTTTTGGGGAAAGAGACAGAGGAATGCAAAAAATCAAAGACCCTCTGGGACTTTTCTAAAGGATCTCAATGATCCTATCCATTGGGTTCATTCCTTTCCACTCTCCAGTGGACTCAAGCTGGGGGCATGGTTGGGGAGCTTGGAATTGCTGGAGAAGGGGGTCTCGAGACACCCTCACTGGAGAAATTCATTAGAAGAACATTCAACTCTACCCAACAACTATGTATACACATGTGTGCACGTGAATATACAACTTGCATAGTTGATCCACAAATCTGGGTAGATAACAAACCGTCAGGAAAGGGAAGAAGAGATGAACAGGTACAGAACTATCTACTGGAAAGATGAGTAAAAGTTACATAACACTTCTCAAGGGAACTTCGATGGAGCCTTGTCCCCAACCAGCAAACATTTGTGTCTGGTCCCAGAGACCTGGTTTGGGTATCCCAGGCTGGTCTCTCTGGATCCATCCTTATGCCTTTTCACTCCCATACTTCCTGGCAGTGGTGATGTGAAACAAGCATCATCATAATCGTTTAACCCATCTTGGTTCTTTTGTGGTCACTGCATCTAAAAAATCACAGATTCTTTGGAGGTTAACAAATGATTTATTTGCTTTCTTCTTAAGTAATAGAACAAATCAGTCTAAAACTCACAAAATACCTTGGAGACCACTGAATGTGGTCCCTCCTAATTTTAAAGCATGGGGAAACTATATCCCAGAGAAGGGAAATAGTCTGCCCTGAGTCACACTGCTGGCAGAAGCAAGCCTCAAGCCCAGGTCTCCCAACACCCAATCTAGGTCTCTTGTCACAGCACCACACGTCCAGCCACCCAGGACCACAGGCTTGATTTACACCGCAACCTGTGAGCTCTTACAGTCTCTAGCTGGGGCTCCCCACCATGCCATGGGGGTCTGGATATGCCTCTGACCTCACACGTTGACTTCAGCAACACCACCCGATTGGTTGCTCTGCCATACAGCCCAAGCCTCCCATTGTTAATCATCTTTTAAAAGAGTTTAACATCTGCTGCAGGGAAATTTACTGGCCTCAAGTTACCGGCTATAATTTTGGTCATTTGGGGGAAATAATGATGCTATAGTCGTCACTTTCCAAATGTTGCAGGAACCCGACCCAGATCAAGAAACCTCTCAATAAATCAGCTCAAAAGCGGCATCAATTTCTAGCCCTGCTATTTTGAATGCTGCGGCTCTGAATCAGTGTCTGGGCTGAAGAAAGCATCCAACTCAAAGTCTCTAGATTTTAATAATAGTTGCCATTGTTCAAAGAGGGATTCATAACTCTCGATGGATTCCAGCCAAAAATCTGGAGCCAGACTCTGTATTTATGTATGTTTGGATGTACTGAGTGCTCTACAAGTTTCATGAGTGGCTCTTTCAACATGGGAGATACCCAGATCTCCAAGCCTTGGTCCTGCTTGTGGACATCACCCTGGACTGAGCCCTTCCTGCTGACAAGTCTTCTTTGGCTCTTGATTTATGTACAGATGAGCAGCATCATTGTACCCAAGGACATAAGTCATTATTAATAAAAATAACAGCTAACCCTTACGGAGTGTTTGCTCTGGGCCAGGAGTCATTGCATTAATTCATGTAACCCTCACAACCCTATCAGGCAGGTACTATTATCTTCATTTTACACATGAGGAAAGTGAGGCACAGAATGGGTAAGTGGTCATACATATGGTAATCAGAGGAGCTAGGGTTTGAACTCAAGCAGTCTGGCTACAGAGACCTCTCCCCTCTCTCTTTCCTAAACAGCTTTACTGAAATACAATTTACATCCCATAAAATTAACCCTCTTACAGTGTATAATTCAGTGTTTTTTAGTATATTCACAGAGTTGTCTAATTATCATCAAT